GGGAAACAACCAAGCCAACCAGGATGTCAAAACACTTGCCTGCAAAACGATAACCCGATAACCAATCCCACATGAAGCACCKCCATCCCTCCTCCCTAAGATAGACCAAATAAGGGGACAGAATCAACCGGAATCGAAGCAGACAAGATTCTCATTCAAAAGAAACATTCTACCATAACCATAGTTAAAAAAACGGAACCATACAGTAGGTCCGCAAAACAAAATACCCCTAAACAAAAGGGGAAAGACAAATATATATATATATATGATATATATAGGATATATAATAGGACAATCATTCCGTGCGACAGGCAAACGTCAAAAGCAGAGAGAGAGAGAGAGAGAGAGAGCATATGATTCTTATGCACAATCAAACCGTGCGACAGGCAAACGTTAAAAGGAAAATTAATGGTCTATTTTTATCTGTTCGGCAGGGACATGTCTTCTAACTGACAGGTCAACAAGACTGGATCTCCAAACATCCTCGGCTACCCTACTCTCCAGCCAGATACGGACGTCTGGAAGACGGTGCAATCCGGCTGAGCTCAGGTCCCTACATCTCCAATCAGGAACAGATATAGGGATCTATAGATTCTACACTAAGCTATGAACTGTACAAAAGCTATTCTGGCGACACTTAGCTTACGCCAATCCTACACGCTCAGATCTACGCTTTTCCTACAACCGCTTTCAGAGAAAATGGTCCCTGCAGCTGCAGTCCACTCCGAAGTTTTTTCCATTACACTCCCTACCGGTCTTCACCCGAATAGAACGCCCGGTCATTATCCCTGCATCTGGACAGAAAAATGGCCCAAATACGGCTGTAAAGACCCGGCTTATATTCTGGTAAATACGGTTGCATTCGCAAATCGTCCAACATAGTGACGCTCATCTCTGTATAATGAGGCTTGCATCTCCGTGGTAAGTAATTCCTCCTGATGTACGGTTTGCGACCGCTTTTGAAGACATCGTCGTGGTCATAAATACCAAAACGGTTCCATCTCCACCGCCAGTCGCTGGCAGATGACATCTATTTCGACGGACTACCTAACTTCACACCCCTATTTCCTCCTGCCTTGGAGCACCTGAATCCACTCTCCACATGGACCCCGCGGCGACAACCTCCCGTTCGGTGGAAAGCACAGCCTACCCTCCGCCTTGTCCATTGCTGCTGCCAGCTCGGTGCGAGCGCCTGAGTGATTGTAGGCGTCCCGAGTTTCGTGAAACATTTTCCTTCTTGATGACAAACGTACCACGGAGTGACGTTGGGAGAACCCATCCTCCAGCGCCGCGTCTGCCGTGGTGGCATCGCAAGGCCGTCGAAGATGTCCCTCGACAGGCGCTTCGCCGTCCTGGCTGTCAATCGGCTGCGACAACGTTACCCCTACCATCCCAAATCGCTTTCGACGGACTACCTAACTTCACACCCCTATTTCCTCCTGCCTTGGAGCACCTGAATCCACTCTCCACATGGACCCCGCGGCGACAACCTCCCGTTCGGTGGAAAGCACAGCCTACCCTCCGCCTTGTCCATTGCTGCTGCCAGCTCGGTGCGAGCGCCTGAGTGATTGTAGGCGTCCCGAGTTTCGTGAAACATTTTCCTTCTTGATGACAAACGTACCACGGAGTGACGTTGGGAGAACCCATCCTCCAGCGCCGCGTCTGCCGTGGTGGCATCGCAAGGCCGTCGAAGATGTCCCTCGACAGGCGCTTCGCCGTCCTGGCTGTCAATCGGCTGCGACAACGTTACCCCTACCATCCCAAATCGCTTGCCGGTGCCAAGAGCGCATTCCCATCTCAAGCCATTACGGGGCCATCCGGTGAACTGGCTTCGTCGTCCTGACGAAATGAAACCGGTGCTACCGCAGGCGGAGCAGGGCAATTTGGAGCATCCACCGATAACTCCGAGCCAAAGGACTTGGGGAAATCAAAGAAAAGTCGAGGGGAGGCGTCTTGTTCAGGAGCCTCCGGCAAAACTGAGGGGCTAGTAAATGTCTCCCTCCCAAGATCCCTGCTCATCTCGCCACCTTCTTCGACGTCATAATCCGTCACGGTATTCTTTCCCCCACGCAAAGTGGACGAGAGCAACCCTTTCCCCATGGCTGGATCCGCACGCGATGGGAAATCAACGGGATTGCAGTTTCCTACCGTCGGGTTAGCAGAGCTACGAAGCCAGCGCGCACGAGACACTGCTTCGTCCGCAGCATCGCCTAAGAAAGGGTGCTCAAGGAGCTGGGAAGCAGACCACCTTCGGAACGGCTCTCGGACCAGGCACTTGGAGAGAAAGCCTTTGGCCTCTGATGACAGATGCGAGGGGACAGCAGGGACTTCGTTGCTGCACGCGATGCGAAACAGCGTTGACATGGTGTCCTCCACATCCGTCCAGGGCGCTCTGCCCGTGGCCATCTCGATCACGGTGCATCCTAACGACCAGATGTCCGCAGCCCCTTCTAGCGTGTCGCTCTGGCTGGCTACCTCGGGAGCCATCCACTGAACGGTTCCCGCAAGGCGTACAGTACGTCCTGGGCATGCGCCGCCATCCTCCTGCGATTCGAGGCGATGTGAGTGCACGAATCCTGGGATTGACAGTCGACGTCATCACCAGGGTCCCCGCAGACGCAACATGAAGCCCCGAAGTCAGACAGCTTGGCGGTTACCCCACCCTCCTCGTCGACCATCACCAAGACGTTCTGACCTTTGACGTCCCGATGCACCACTCCTCGCGAGTGCGCGTGCTGCAATCCGAGCACCATCCCTCGACAACATCGCCGGATCATAGACTCATCAAGCCTTCCGCCGAAACGCTTCGAGAAGTCAGCCACGCTGCCCCCGTTGGCCAGCTCTAGGAACAGGTTACGCTCCGCTGACCCGTCCTGGCCAACTTTCCAGTCGTCCCCAAGGTAGTGCACCACGTGAGGAGACGGACCCAGCCGCCTTAGAATGGTGATTTCGTTCTCCAATGCACGAAGCTCGGCTTTCGACGCACGCGCCGAAGAACTTCCTGGATCGCAAACAGCCTCCGGCGGAATGGCGACGGTCTTCACGGCAAACACCGCGCACGACCGTCTGTCAAGCGCGTGATGCACCCGCCCAAATGAACCTTGCCCAAGGACGCTGCCACGAACTCAGCAGGATGATCCATCCTCTTCGACCCTTCGACATACCGTCAAGCTGTCGCGTTCGGCGGGACAGCCATTTGCCGCCACCCTGACGGTTGCTCCACGGCCATGCGCGTCCATGACCACGTCCTCAGCGGAGTTCACCGATTCTGAACGTATATATACACACACACACACACACACACACACACACAGAGAGAGAGAGAGAGAGAGGGAGAGAGAGAGAGAGAGAGAGAGAGAGAGTAGTTGGTCTTTCTTCAGCGGCAGCTGATCCGGGCTGCACGAAGTACGGACGCTAGTTAAAAAAAAAACCGTCGGAGTATAGTGGCTTCAAGAAGACAACTGCGATGTTGCATGGCGGGGAAGTTAGGCGTGTTTCTCCACTAGCTGATAAGGATTGCTCTGCGACTTTGCTAAAGTTCCGCGGAAAAGATGGGGATGATGATGGACGCTGGCCCTACGAGTTGGAGGTTGCAGGCAGTTGACTTTTACGCACTTGGAAGACTCTGAAGGCGATGTCCTTCGCTTCGCCTCCTTGCGGAGGTCGTGAATAGCGCAGCTAAAGCTTCTATATGACAGCTGCCACCTGCAGTGTGGCGTGGTCACGCTCCACCTTAGTTCCCTTACAGAGCTGCGAGTGGGAAAGTCTGGCGGCAGAATGGTAGCGCAATGGGATCGTTGCGCAAGCAGGAAGAACGCGGAAGGACATGGAAAGGACGCAATTCGTGAGCAGCTCAATGAAGACAGGCGTGAGCTACCATAAACGTACTCCAGCAACACAAGTGTGAAGCGAACAGCGGTCAAACGCGCATGCGGAAAAGGACTTGCACGCATCGGACGGACTACCGTTGCCAGTCGTGGGTGACCAACTTTTCTAATGGTGCAGCTTTGCGGATTCTGCTTGCTTGTCACACGCGATAATTGACTTACGCTGCGGAAAAGTCTGGAGAGCAGACTCGATAAAACCCTACACCACAACTGCGCCCTACGGACATACGCAGTATGAGAGACAGCGGGCGCCATGTCGCTCAAACCCTCGGCATGCCATTCATGAGCCCGCCATGCGCTCCAGGGCATCGCCATGTCCTCCGTCGCATCAAAACATCGTATCCGGGATACGAAAGCGAGCAGCTAATCGCAGTGAAGATGCAATAGACCGACTGCCCTTGTAGGCTTTGTCTAGCGATCTCAGATTATCGCGTATATTATAGAGTATCGCCTGTTTCCGATTTTCGAAACGGACTCGACGTTCGTGGAGTGGTCTAGTCAGCGAAAACGTCCACGTCCCGCTCGCACAACTGCAGCGCTGCGCTGCGCTGCGCTGTTTTCGTCCACGTCCCGCTCGCACAACTGCTGCGCTGCTCCATCCTACGTTGGCTGTTACGGTACAGCGCGGCTGCTCAATTGCCCGAGAGGGTCACAAGCATACGACCACCGAAAAAAATGGCGGGCTGGAGGCGACGTGGCGTCTCGCAACGGCGGACCAGATTTGCTGATTTCTTTCCTCCCTTATCGTGGGCCCAGCGCGGGCAAGCTCCAATTGGCGGGATTTTAAGCGGGACGCGACTCAGCATTGGAACCGTGCGGAGAAAAGACCGCCCGCCGTTTCTTTTGGTGGTCCCAGGGTTGACGTGTCCACGCGACGTGTTTTGACCGCAGCTCCATGACTGCATTCGTGGCTAACCGGAAGGGGTACCGTCTTCTCCCGAGCACAACGCACCATCATTTTGACTGCACCGGGACATAACTATAGTCTGTATACATTCATTATCAGGGTGTGTTATGTTCGGGGGAAGACGGTAGGGGCGTACTTCTAATGTAAATGATTAAAAAAAAAAAAAAAAAACGAATGAAAGGATGACCGAGCCACTGTTGCTACTCACTCGATGGGGGGCGGGAAAAGGAGATGGGAGGCGCAGCTACTGGCAAAATGCTCGGTCTTTGCTTTCTTTCACTACCTACCTACCACTGCTCCTAAGGCTATACAGGGGACCCCTGCAAGCATAGCTATGGCTTTCTACCTCTCTTCTGTGAAGGGAGGTTACCTCTCTCGGTGCAGAGAGGTAACTGCATGTTTGCCCCTTCGCCCTAGCGTTTAGGCTGCAGGGTTGGGGGGGGCCGCGGGGGGCCGGTTAACACAAGGACATAGCATTTGCCAGTAGCTGTGCCTCCCTTTTCATCTTCCCCCACCCCCATCGAGTAACAGTAGTGGCAGAACGCCAGTTAAAAATATGGGAGGTGAGAGAAAAATATATGGCTGTCCCCCTTTCAACAAAAAAATAATAATAATAAAATTTTTAAAAGTGGAGCTAAGGGACGCTGGACCCGGAGGGAGATCCCACTACCAATGTATGTGGAGTAGTGGAGAGGTTGTGTGACTCCAGAAGCACCGTGGATCGGACAGGATATCGGCTGTGTGTTTTTATTTGTATTTACGTGTGGGGACATGTGTGTTTTGGGGGCCTCCCATTGGGTGGCATTTCATTTCTTTTTGAATAGGTGTTCCTCTTGGGGTCCTGAACGTGAGTGAAATCGTAACGATTTCTGTCGTGCTGATTCTCAGACACCTCCTACTCACCTTCGGGTAATTGCCCATGCCCATGCTTGGAAGACATGCCGAAGTGATTGTGGCTTGTGAGACATCCGGGGGGTTCGATCCCCTCACCTACGGCACATGCTACATGGAGTTGACGTTGCCGTCCTTTGCCACAAGTGAATTTCTGTCAAGAGGGAAGGAGGAGCATGCACTACTATTGTCAATGAATTTGGTCAGTTTGCTCAGTCGCATGCACTCTTTTTGACTGACACAGTCATGGTCAGTGAATCATACCCTGACATCTGACACCCCGCCTGGAGCAGACACAATGATGGGAAGAGGGCTTTGGTTTCGTTTTTAGCATTTTTCTCTTCATTTCTTTTGTCATGAAATGGTTTTTCGGTTTCATTGTCCCTATTTCACCCTGCCACCCACCTGTCTCCCACCCATCCCGTCAAACTAATCCAGATACATGGGTAGTGGGATCTCCCTCCGGTTTCCAGCACCAGCCTTTCGGAGCATTGTCAAAAAAACAAAAAAAAAGGTAGAGCTAATAATAAAAAAGTGAAAAGTAGAGCTGACCACATCGTCGTCAACAGAGATTGGCTGCCGAATGGACGAGCTGGGTTGGGAATGGTTCCACAAGACCCACAAGAACACACAGGGTCGGGCAGCGCCAGTGGCGGATAGGCGCCACAAAGCCTCCCGCCCTGCATATGGAGCAGCCAACTTAGCCAAACCACCACTATAAGTTCTCTCTCAGGCAAAGCCTGGCCAAAGGGCCTCGCTGGGAAAGGAGGCAACCCAGGGCGTTCGAAGCGGTGCCGCATAGTGTGACGCCGAACCTCACGCCCGGCGCGACTTCCTGATCGGAGTGGGATGTGGGCCTGGAAGTGCGAGAAGGGGTGTGCCAAGGATTTTTGGGGAAAGTGGGGGTGGAGTCCCAGGTCGGAACTGAGATCTCCTGTGGAAAAGTTTCAGGGGCATAGATGCAATAGAGCTAAGAGGGCGAGTTACTTCCAGTCTGATGGCGGTCGAGGTCGTGCAGCATAAGGCAGATGGCATGCGTGGTGCATTCAAGGCCGTCCGATCCGTCTGTTTTGGTGGCGACGGTTTGGGAAGAGGCCCACCCGGGATGCTTGTGATTCCGATCAGTCAGACCTTCAGGTGCAGACACGTGGCGTCTGTCGTCGCGCGTTTTGGTTAGGCCCCGTCGTCTTAGAGGCTCGTCGGTTGCCGCGTCGCCGGCAATTTCCGCAAGGCGTGTGGGGCCAATACGGGGCGATGGAATTCCACGGAACCACTGTGAGCTAGTGATATGGGAGGAGGAGACGGAAGGGAGGGAAATTGGTAGTGATAACAATGAAGCCTGGGGATATGAAGTATTGCGTGTTATCTGTAGTGGGAAAATCGGGGCACCTTGGATCGCTGGTTATGGCACAGTGAAACTCCCAGGGGCACAATCGATTCTCGGTTAGGCAGGGGAATTCCGGGTATCTTTGCCTACTACATTCTCTCACCCAAGGGTCGAAGTACTCTGAGTCCCAGGAGCTCGGCATCTTGTTAATGCGGGGTAGTGGAAGCCTTCCGCACGCATCTAACCGACAATGGGATTTTTCCGATGTGCTCTCGGAAATTCCTATCCGTTTAGGTGCGCGGGGGAAGGAAAATTTCCGCCTACCTGATACCGGAGATGTCAAGAAGACTCAAGCTCGTCAATGGTCGCGAATCGGCGCGCGTAGATACGTGTAGGCTGCCCAGATCGAATCGCGCTTACACGCGTCCCCGCGAGATATTCATCTGTTTCTGGGATAATGAGAGCCTAATTTCTTATGCAAAATCACCATGTGCCGTAAACAACTACCCAATCATCTAATCACTCCGTGATCCCGCAAGCAATCCTTCCCGAGCATGCGAGGTGTTATCACACATCAGACATCACATCAACATCAGAACAAAAGTGATAAGCAATAATGGAAGCAATAATGGTGACTATGCAAAAATTTATACCATACTTATGGGTGTATCATAATGGCTGACAAAGGCAATGACCAGACGAAAGAAAAACAACAACCATAACATTCATTCATCCACTTACTCGAAAGAACATACGGTAGTGGAGATCAAGATCAATCGCAAAACAAGGGTGGGCTGAAACCAAGGCAAAGATTTCGAAAACAAGAGCAAACGGGCACGTCGCCCTGAGCCGAGATCAAAATTTATATACAAAAGCAAATAGGGAGACAAGACAAAGAAAATTGCAAATCCACGTTCATCAACCCCAACTCTCTCTTTCTTTCTCCCTCTCTCGGATGCGGGCAGTCCGTCATCACGCACCAACCCACGAAGTCGTCAACCCGTTTAGTCCTCCTGCACCTGTCAGGTTCCCCGCGCGCTATAGTCCGTCGTAGCCCCACGCGTCAACCCCGCGCATTCGGCACCAGCTCGTCGGGTCGCCCGACTCCTACTTCAACTCACCTCTGACTTCGCTCGTGAGCTGACCCTCACTGATCGCACTACCCCGAGTTTCCAACAACTGGTTAAGAGAGCTGTTTGATCGCGCAACCGGAATTTATAGCGTGCATGCATGTGTGAAGAATTCGTAATTGCAAGGAGTTAGAAAGGAGATTAGGAGAGGGAGCGCCTACGTTCTGCATGGCCAGACCACGGCGTGGGGGACGTAGCCACTCTCCACGCATTGATCCGAACATGCAGGTCGCGGGCTAACTAGGCATAGCAAAAGGGGAAGAGAGAGCGGGAAAGACGAAGCTCAAGAAGAAAGATACAGTTACAATGGCGCCCGTCCAAAATTACAGTTACTTGCAAGATTAAGGGCGCCGACTAATCAGAGCTCCGTCGCAGTCGCAAAAAGAAACGCGCAAGCAGAAGGCGTTGCGCGGCAAAAGAAAATCCTAAATTCCAAAATTCCCAAATTCCTACCTAATGCGAAAATGCAAAAAGCATAAATTTCGGAAGAAAAGTTCGAAGTTCCGAGAGTTGTCAAGGCTCGACAAGATTCAAAAAGAAAATTCAAGAAGATCGAAGCAAAATTCCAGCGCGACCTCCGCGCCTAAAACCCGTCAACAGAATAGGAAAGAAACGACGTCAAACATTATAGTTCGCGCCTTTGTCAGCGCGACAACCACTTAATCGGCCATCTTGGGACTTGCCCGAACCTGAACCCAGCCATCCGAAAAGAAGCGAAGAAAGAGAAAAAACGAAAAAATGAGGACACTGATGCAATTTTTCTTCGATCCCGATCTCCCGAAATTGGTGCATCCTTCCCATCTCAGGACCCCTAATTGTCATCGCGTAGAAAATCGCGCAGAACAGAAATTGGTTCGTCACAGTAGCGCCTGCTCGACTGCAGGGTGACAGGCTAGGTCACGAAACGTAACTCATCATTGCCGCCACAGCCGATGCTTCATTGGCTTAGGTGGCGGGAAGGGGAAGTGCCCAAGGCCCTAAAGGGACCCTGGCGAGGTGTCGCCTGGGATACGCGCGCGTAGGTGTTGGGGCTAAGTCCTCGAACAACATAATGGAATTATGATTCAGTAATAATGTGATGATATGCTGGCGGGCATCTCGTGCACAGGTTTATCACACCTTCGCGATGGCTGACTCGAAATGAGGTATG